GTAGATTGAATTACTGTATTTTCCTTTTCCTAATCTGGGGAAACAAAACGCAGTGAATTTATTCAAATGCTACACCATTACATATTTTTAATTAGATAGCAGAACACCATTTATTCATGATTCATGTTATTGTTGACTTTTGCAGATTTTAGGAGTAGTGAACACATCTGTTTTTGTTTGCAACTGTTCACTTTAAAATATAGGAACAAAGGATGCTTCATATCACCCTCAGTTCAATGCTTAGCTCCCCTGTAGCACCTTGAGAGAAAAATATATGCTGTTCCAAAATATAAATCTTCTTTTTTTGAAAAAGTGATGGAGCTGTTGGTGCACTTCAATGCAATGCAGGAACACCTTTCTACATGTTGTGACTCTATGATCTGGGCTTATTGCTCTGCAGACAATCTTGTCATGGACCGGATCGCAGGCCAACATTTTCGAGAAGCAGAAAGTGCGTGAGATTGCTTCCCTGATCCGAGACACGGACCGACACGGAAAAGCCCGTGTGGTGGATACCTGTGAGGGGGAAGAGCCAGAGGAAATGCTGAAGGTACAAAAAAACTGATGATGTGAGGGCATGCAGGTGGCACAGTGGTTAGCACGCACGACCCATGTAGGGAGGCCTCAGGCCTTGACCCCGGTGACCCGGGTTTGAATCTGGCCTCATGTCCCCCCCTCCCTCTCTTATACCCCCTTTCCTGTCGGCCTACTGTCAGAAAAATGAGCCACTACAAACTAAATAAAAAAAACAGCTGATCTGTCCATGTCATCTGCTTTGCTTAAAACCATTTGGTAAAAATGTGTTGTGTTTTTACCAGGTGCTGGGTCCGATGCCAGTTCTGGCAGAAAGCACGCCAGAGGAAGACAACAAAGCTGATGCCTCCAACACTGCATCCCTATATAAGGTTATTCTAGCTCCCAAAACAGCAGCTTTGTTACCAACCTGGAGAAATGAAGCTAAACTAGTCTTTAACCCATATGTAGGTATCTGATGCCACAGGCTCCATGACCATGACTAAGGTTTCAGAAAAAAGCCCTTTTTCCCAGGAGCTGCTGGTCAGGGACGACTGCTTCATTCTGGATAACGGAGCAAATGGAAAAGTTTTTGTCTGGAAAGGTAACAAAAAAACAAACTCTTCCAAACATAAAACACTTCTCCTGAAATACATGGAAGTAAATAGTAACATGCCAGAATCATAGAAAATTACTTTTACAAAATTTGGTGAGAAATTGCATCAATTATTTAAAAGCTTTCCATGATAAATTCATCTCCTACATTGGCCATATTTGTGCTTTTATATTCAACTGATGATTTCTAATAATTACTGGTACCTTAATTTGGCCCTGATTGGATATTTATTTATTTAACAAAATGATTGTTTCTCCTTACACTATTTGTTAGATTTCTACATAAATCTTTGTCTGGAAATTTAACACAAAAAAAACCCTTCAAACCTGAAACATTAAACACTTTTCCTGAAATACATGAAAGCAAAAAAGTAACAGTCAGCATAACACATTTAAAACAGAATAAAACACATCTAGAAGCCAGATAAATCATTAAAAGACATTTTAAACTGCCTAGCAGTGACGCAGACCTTAAAACATTAGCTTAATTAAATATTCTGTTATGATTCACATGATCATATTTCACATATTTTGGTTAATAATTTGGTTTAAGATTGTAAAATTAACACACTTGTTAGTGCAAAAAAGTCATGTCTATAATCACGAAAGGAACAAAAACTAAATCCCAGGAAGAAGTCAATCAAACCAAGTAAAATTATATGTCCATGCAGCAAGATAAATTTATTTGAAAAGAATTCTGGATGTAAATCTAAAAATCTGCATCTTATAGTCATTAAGTCACAATAAGTCCCATTAATTAATAGATGTTCCCGCTATCTAGTAAAGAAAAAAAAAAGACTGGATAATAAAACTTTAAAACAAGGTAATTTAGTAAGGATTTAGTCTAAAATTGTTAAAAAGCGTTTCTACCAAATCATTTTTTGTTATCTCAAACAAATTCACCTTTATTGTTCAAGATAAATATCCTTAAAGATGGAAGAAGATCACAGACACCTGACATTTAGACATGAAACATATTAAATTAAATCTGCTGAGAGAAAATAAGAAATGCTCTATGTGGTTGGAGTGAAGGCATGAATCAATATGTTTATTTTAATAGAAAATTAAGCAAAAATTTTTTTTAAATAAATATTGCTCAAAAGGTATAAGACAAGATTTCTAAGTATGACTTAAAAAAAAATAACTGAACAACCAGACTTTTGCTGAGCTGGAATTCGTCTAAGTTATCTGCAACCAGGCCGCATGTTAGATGCAAACTGATAATAAAGTAAAACAACAGACATTCGTGTCTACAGCTATACTCTTCACACTGTTTACGACCCTGTTGTCGAGTAACACGGACTTATATAATGAATTTTTAACCGCCAGGTCATGGAGCGAATGCAGAGGAGAAGAGGGTGGCCCTGCAGATGGCGGACAACTTCATCGAACAAATGAAGTACCCCAGAATGAAAACACAGGTGGGTTGAAACAGAAACACACGATGCAGATGTAAATGTTTTTGAAGGCAGTTTATATCCGTAAAACAATTAGCATTGTGAGTAAAAAGTGTCGTTCTCCTGCAGGTGGAGATTCTCCCTCAGGGGAAGGAAACAATCATCTTTAAGCAATTCTTCAAGAACTGGAACTGAGCGTCTCGCTGCAAACAGCACTGCACATATGAAATTAGTACCAAACTCAAAACATGTTTAGTTTTTTTTTTATACAAGCTCCCTGGTGTATGTAGATATTTAAAAGTTATAGAGGAGGCAGCTGAAGGCTGCTGCTTCTTTTAAATTTGGGTAGAATCAGAATGATGCCACTTTTGTATCTAAAAAGATGAAACACAATACTTGTGGTGACAGTGTGTGAATAAATTAAAAGAACATTAAGGAAACTCTTTTTTATATATATCTATATTTTGCTCAAAATGATCCCAGGTTTGTCTGTTGAAGAAGAATAAAAAAAGTTCTCGCTGCTCCTGGTGTGTTCACTGCCAACAATTTGGATCAGTTGGTTTCAAATTAGGGCTTAAAACTGTGCAATGTTTCCCAGCATGACAGCAATCTTTATATAATTGTTTTTCAGCTGCCACGACTGGTTCACCTTTATCTTTTTTCCCCAGGTCAGCATCCCACTGTCACGGCAACCCACTTATCAGCAGGAGGAGCTTTTGTAGTCATTTGTTAGTCACACATTTATTGAATTGGGCCAGCCCGATTTATGTGGAATAACTCATCTCTGGAGGTTTCAGGTCAAGTTAGAGCAAATGAAAGCTACAATAAAAAAGAATATAGAAAAAGAAGTTTTCTTTAAGGCAGCTCAACCTAGGCCACAGTTTTAAACCGCTGCTGAAAGACCATTTTCTGAAGAATTCGATTTAAAAAGTTCCTCTTAACAAAATAGGTCACTTTATTATCTTCATTGAATAGTTTTGCTTCTTCTGGGAATATGAATTTAGATTCTTAGTCTAAGGTCGTATCTGTTTCCATACAAACGTGAAGAAATTAGATAAAAAAAACCTTGAGAAGGGCTTAATATATATAAAAAATACAATACAATTTTTAAAGCAAACTGAGTATCTTTAAGAATAGTTATAAATTAAGATCAAACATTCCAGCATTTTTATGTATAAATCCCATTTGCAGAGCTGTGTAAAAGTCTTTGAATAAAACCAGAAAACAAACCAGCTCCCACTCCTGTCTACATTATCTTCCCTCTCTTTTATGATTATTATAGCTCGACCTATTTTATAGCCAAATTTTACTATTATTTGAAATTTTCCGAATATTTCTATTAAACAATTTAAAATGTGTTATACTTTATGATATGTCTTCTACATTTATTAATAATTCACAGCTGATTAGGATCATTGAGTAGAAAAGGTTAAAAAGATTTTTTTTTTGCATAAACTTCTTTTAAACTGAGAGTTATTTAAAAGTGGTTGTGACAATTTTTTTTTCCGACCACATAAGTCCATTTACGTCACAGCTGCTTCCATTATAGATAAACACAAAGTAGACAACTTTTCTTAGCTAAATATCTCAAGCCTGAGTCCGATTGGAAGGAGACTATCTGAGAACCTTGGATCTAAGTTATTCCACACATCGTATGTTTCGGTCTCATAATTAGAGCAACTTCTTCCACATGTTTTATGTATCCCCTATATGCCATGTGGAAAAACTTCAAACAGGATCTCTGCAGCTCCTCCAGAGTCAACATGGGCCTTTTGGCTGCTTCTCAGGTTAAATCTCTCCCCACGCATCCCAGGTCTGCTGTTCTGTTCTGTACTCTTTTCTTTAGCAGATGATGGATCGAGCTTTGCTCTGTTAGATCTTCAAAGTTTGGGACATCAGTTCTACTCCTGCTTCACATCTATCTCCCTCACCTCTCTGGTGCCATCATAGAACTAATAATAAATAAATTCCCTCTGCCTTGCCCTGTGTCTGATCATTGCTCCTAAATAAGAAGATTTATTTTAGTGTTTCAATTTTTACTGACATTTAGGCTAAATTTGTTAAAGAGGCTTGAAATAATCTCTATTAGGGTTGTTTTACTAACACACATCCACGGATTCAGCACCACTTACATGCACTTCTCAACTATAGCTGTATATAATCTGTAAATCCTTATTATTATATGTCATTATTTATCCGGTATTATAAACCCACTTATATATACATAATCCATATCCTAACTTTCCTGTTTAATCTGTATATAATTTTCATTTTTATTTATTTTATAGCGTCTTTCAATTACTCTCTGTTTATATACACCATTTAAAGTTAATACATACAGTCTCTGTGCACATGTAAATAAATATTTATATCCTGAATAGCCCTTCTAGATAAATGCAAACTACATTTCATTGCTTTTATACTGGTGGCAGTGTAATGACTATAAAGTTGAATTCTACTCTTATTATATAAGATTATATTTTAATTGATATGTATCATCAAACCTGTTGTGTGAGACTGTATTTTATAATTATGAGTGTATACAATTATATCTGTTGGCCTGTCATGATTTATTTAAGCCCTCATAGAAGCAGTCTGACCTCTGCCCTCATTGCTCTGCTGCCAGGTTTACAGTTTACAGTAATACATACCTGAGACCTCAGTCACCTGCGTCACTTTTATGATAACAGGGTTTATTGCTGCTGTAAACCATCACTCCTCTCTATGCCCTCGTGGTGAGTCCGCTGTCAGCTTTCAGGAAGCTGAAGGGATTTACAGAGAAATAGTTTCCCTCTCCAGCTCCAGGCAATAAAAAGGTCATAAAAAAGCGTTAACAAAAAGATTGGACAGGCAGCGCTATTCGTCCACTTCTCTCCACCATCAAAACTGCAGCAACGCTCCAACAACAGAACAGGTAAACTGCTCTAAATTTACATATAACACTTTTCTTTTCTGAACCACAGGTAAAACAGCTGCTCTTAGAAATATGTATATTGATTTTATGGTGGTTGATTTTACTTTTGCTTTGACAAACTAGCTAAAACCTTGGGTTACATTAACAATATATTGGTATTTAATGAATAAGGAGAATAATCTATTATTCTTTTTCTATTTTTAGAATACTCATCATGAATTTTACAGTCGGTTTAGATCTTTTTACATAACCTTCATGTGTTTCTTTTCCCACAGCCATGAATAAAGACGAAGGCACAGAGTTAAAAACTATCCTAAAGCGAAACAAACGTAAGTTTCTGCATTTTCTTTTGGACAAATATAAATATTACAAGCTTATGTGTGGTTTTTAATGTGGCAAATCAAATGTAATTTTTAAAATGTATTTAAAAGAAATTACAATTTTAAACAGCCTAGTTTCCAATGGTTCTACATTCTGCACTCCTTTTCTTCCATATGTTGTTCTATACACATTTGTAACATTGAGAAACCTGCCCTGTAGGGGTGCAGCTGATGCTGAATGATGAGGGCAGCAACACCACCCAAAGCAGCTCCATCGGGGCTGTTCGCTGGAAGGTGACTGATGAGAGCGCCCAGCCTCACAGCTCGGCCCCAACCGTTCATGCCAAGTCAGGCACCAACAGGAGCCCTCAGGTAAGCTCTTTGGCTTCGATTTTTGTTCCTGTTCCTGATGTAGAGACTATGTGTTTTTTAAATCTTTTTTTATTTGCTTCATGGTCCAGGTGTAGTTTTACACATTAGTGGTTAAGGCATGACAAAACTAAGCAGTTGTTTAGAGTCACAAGGGGAGTCAGTGAGCACAAGGCTAAAAGAAACTAAATTTATTAACTTCAAAAGAGAACTAAGAGAATTTGACTGTGTATCATGAAAAATGTATTTAAATTAAACAAGTCTCCGCAAATTAGCATCTTTCCGCTCTCAATTTTTTAATGCTGCAAACAGGAAATGAAGACAAATATGTATAAAATTATATATGCAAAAAGCAAATAACACATTTCTTTGCTGAGTTTTGCTTGATTACTTTTTCTTTTGTTTTTTATTATTGTTATATATATATATATATATATTCAGTTTACATCCTGTCTTTACATAATCTCTCAGTTATTCTAAGATGATTTGGATATATCTTCAAAACTTTATTCCCAGTGTTAACAGCAGATAAGTAATGTGACGTGCACAAGTTCTGAGTGACACACATTAGTCATTTAGATGGATTTTGTTCCTTTTATTTATAAAATATATTAAAGTTTGTATCTAGCTGTATCCATTCACTTGTGATATAATGGAAACATCAGTGTTTTATAATTAATTTTAGGAACAGCTTTTTGTTAGAATTTGTGCCGTCCTTCAAAAGATTAATTTAGCGAATCCTTCAGCTCATGCAGCTGCAGTTTTGGTTTTACAGTTACAATCACATAATGCCCTATTTACAGAGTTTTAACTGCTTTTTCTTCTCCCTCAGATTTATATATTTCTTTATTTATTTTATTTTATTTTATGCATTCATTAAAAAACAAAAAAACAAAAAAAAACATTGTAAAACCTGTGCAGGTGACAACTTTAATCAAGAATGAAAGAAAAGAAGCAGAAAGAAGTAAAACATTTATAATATCTGCCCCCATAGAGAATAACCAAGTGTGCTAATCATCAAATATTGGAATAATTTTTCAGACCTCACCTTATTATAAAGTTCTGGAAATGAACAGTCAATCGGCTCAGATAAAAAAAAAGTAGAGTAGCTTTCAATTTAAAATATATTGCATATAAGAAAATGTCAATTGCCAGAATAAATCTGGGAAAAATAACTATTATATAGTACTTTCTATTCCAGATAATTTGCATATGATCTCAGTTTATAGGTATAATAAATAAGGAAGAGACAGCAACACAATTACTGCATGAAAAAGGGTTTGATTTGTTTGGCAGCAGTTTTATTTTAAAGCATCTGCTTTGTACTCTGGGTGAGGGAAGCAATCAGCCAAATCACTCCTGATTCACACAAATGTTTGGTTCATTTGAACGACACATTCAGGACGCCATTTGTAATCAGAAACCAGAAAAACAAAACAAAGGCGCTTGATTATGTTTTCCTACAAAAAAATTCAATATGTCCACTGCACTGAAAAACATTGATATATTTTAAGTTTAAACCAAACTTTCACATTAAATAGTCAGTCTTTGTAAATGTTAATTTAATTTTTGAATCCATTTTAAGGACAGAAATGCTTTGGAAAAAGCTTTGATCGCTATAAATGGTTAGCACCGAGGCAATTAGCATACCCAGTGTTTTGTTTGATCTATGGTGTAAGACAACTGTCTGTAAAAACATATTAGTAGATGTCCGAAGGCATGTCAATAATGTGAATAAATTAAAGAGTTCTATATGTTCCTTGTTATTAATTTGTATTTACAATAAAAAACGTACAAAGAAGATCTTATAAAAAAAAAAACTTTTTTTACAAATTTAAATGCTCACTTAACGTTTTTTATTGACAGTTATCTTACCCCATAGATTATGCTCAAAGTAGGTTTGACAGAGTCCTGATCAGACGACTGACTGAAAATCTAAAAATTCAATATTAGTTTGACAGTGGTGTAGTGAGCTGGATTGAGCTTATTCTCGCTTTTGGCCCTAACCGACCCTGTTTATTGGTTTTGAAAGATCCCAGACGAGTATCTACAAATTAACCATGGACAAGAGAAGGAAATGATTGATGGAAAATCATAAAAGTGGATCTTAATATCCATGTTTCTCCCTTTCTTCCTTGTTGCATTGTTTTAAAACATGGCACATCTGTCTTGCAGCATCATGCGCGCCAGGGCAACCTGAAGGAGCTGCGCAGTCTGCAGGAGTGTGTTGAATTCATCCACCACTGGAAAGAGCAAGTGGACCAAGTGTGCAAGGTAGAACCCACATCTCTTCATGAAATAGAACATGTAAAGCAAATTACACTCTTTTTTTTATCCTGATTTAGAATTATACAAAAAAGACTCAGTCTATATGCTGAACATACTAACAAACTTTAAATCACGTGTATTTTCTGCTTTATCAGATTTATTTTATGAGCTAGAGTCCTTATCTCAGCTTCATAAGTCAGGGGTGGATATAGATAAACGGTGCCATGAAAACAAGCATTAATTGTGTATCATTAATAATATGATATAAAGGATGGGTGGCTGCATAAATATCTGTTTTATGTCCCCATATGCGTTTACAACCTGAATATTCGACCTTTAAGCCTGCAGCCAAGACTGCAGCCTGATAAACACGCAGGCCTAGACTTTACCTTCTTCGTTTATTACCTCTTAAAACCAATGTACAAATTTAAGGTTTAGATAATCTGATTCGTCAGGCGGTTGTAAATGGGTTTTCTGGCTCTAAGCATGTTTGAAACTTTGTTTGTTGTGCTTCAGCAGGGGGGCACAGATACTGGAGAGGGAACCAGTAAAGCAGAGACCAAGAGCTCAGACCGACGCACCGAGCGCAGCCTGGAGGAGAGCCGAAAGCTGATCCTAGAGTGGGCTGATGAGCTCCGCCATGTTGACAAGGTGAGCTTTCAGATAAGAAATATGCAGTAGTCAAACACATCAAATGCGTATGATTTCTAACTAATGTCTCATTTCTAGTTTCTAATGGAGACACCATGGAAATCTGATCATCAAAAGAAAGAGGAGCCCAAAGATGAGGGGCAAGTGAGGCTCATGGAGTGGGCAAAGGAGCTGCAGAGGGCCACCGAGGTGAGGGGTTACAGGCTAGGGTTTTTACATAAAACATATTTTTCTACTTCAAAACAGAAAAAAAAAAGTCAGATTTCTCATAAAAGAAACTGAGATGCAGATTTTGTTTGTTTTCCAGAGCTGCGGTGTGGAAAGTGAGGAGCTGGGTAAAGTGCTGCGCATGCTGGGCGTCAAGAAGAAGCGTCTGTTCAAGCTGCTGCCCCTGCTGGAGTTCATTACCTGGTCCCTGCTGAAGGATGACAGCTCGGTGAGGAACACCACAGCTGCTCTACCTTTAGATCAAATATTCATCTAAATGTTATAGAGCAATAAATCAAACACATGCAAACCATCTTACTGTATATGAAACCCCCCTCCCCTTGAGGTGAATCTGATGCCATATAGTTGTATAACAGTGAACCCTGCTCTCAATATTCATACGGCGAAGCCATAAATTGATTTTGCTGACCCTGATGCGCTGCTACGCTGATAACCAACAACGTCTCTGTCCCCGATAACATATGGAGAATATTAAGCTCTTTATCTATCACCACTTTCACCTAGAATCTCCAAGGAAATAATAAGTAAAGAGAAAACAGAGAAAAGCAAACAAAGCGGCAAAGGCGACCAGTAGGATGTGGTCAGATGGGGCCCCGATGAGGCTAACAACAAACTGAATTTTCAATTTTATATGTATAAATTTACCAATTATAGAGGGAGTTAAGTGCATGGTAGAGAGTGAGTAAGTATAATTCTAAGTATTTTAAAGATAAAACAAACTGACCAGGTATGTAAAAAAACAAACTGAAGCTCTTATGTCCTTTCTTGATTCATACTCATTAAAATATTCTGAACAGAACGATGTTAACCCCTGCAGCCAAAGAGCTTTTAAACTACTTTTTGTTCGAGGATATTGATGGAACCTTTAGTGAAAGGAAAAACAATAATTATTTTAAGAATTACAGTGGCTTGATCGAATGGTCAAAAAAAAAGTTACAGCAAAAACACTTTTTTCACCCTGATGATCATTTTTTACTTAATTTATTTGTTTAGGCAATGGTTTGCCAAATCTGGCTGCTGGCGAAGCAGAGGACCTGGAAAGCAGGAATACCCAGATACATCCCAAACACAGGTTTGTAGATATGTACTTTTTCAGGCCAGTTTGGAAAACTTTTTATTTATGTATTTATTTATTTATGAGCTGTTTATAATTATTTGTCCTCATCTCTGTTTTCAGTTTGGAGCTGGATCTGCAGCGCAGCTGGTAAGTATTGGGCATACTTGCCCTCATTAACCAGTATAAAGAAAATATACTTCAAATTGTGGTTCTAGAGCACTGATTCCTCTGTTCTCCCTAACAGCTGATGTGTTGCTCGACCCAATGACGACTCACCCATGGCTTCAGCTTTCAGACGACCAGCGGAGGGTCCAGGAGGGTCTAACAGAGTCCGACCCTCCCTACAGCTCCCAGCGCTTTGACAGCTGTCCCTGCGTTCTGGGCTCGGAGGGCTACAGCTATGGCCGCCACTACTGGGAGGTGGACATCGCCAATAAGGGCTACTGGCGTGTCGGCCTGACCACGGCCGACTCTAAGCGGAAGGGAAACTTCCCAATGACCCCCAAAAAGGGATACTGGGTATTGTGGAGAAGCACAAACCATTTTTATGCCTGCACCAAGCCGGAGACGGAGCTGCCCATCAGCCTTCTCCCGCGGCGCCTCGGTGTGTACCTAGACTACGAAGAAGGCCAGGTCTCCTTCTACAACGTTGAAACCAAATCCCACATCTTCACATTCACAGCAAACTTCAGGGATAAGGTGTACCCTCTATTCGCACCCATGGACGGCCGCACCCTCATCACAATCATCAATCCAAATGAAATATCAGAAAGCACGGAGAAGAGCACGGGCAAGGCTAGAAAGGTAGCATTTAACGATGGGAATACGCTGTAAAGAAAGCCTTACCAATCCCAGTCAAAAGCTTAGAAAATCTTTTAAAAGAGAGGGAGGATGTTTGAGCTGTGTGATCTAGTTTATTAACTCTCACAACAATATATAAAATCCAATAAACATCGGAAAACCTCTTGAAATATTATAGAAAAACCTAAAAAAAAATTAACCTTTTAAGATTTGCTTCAATTTCAGTTGCATGAAGCATGTAGGTTAGAAGAGGGTGTAATCAGGAGATTACTGGTTTATTCTCACTGGATTATGAGTTAATTAGACATTTGTTCAAAAATAAGTAAAGTTACAGTCTATATATATATCCAAAAAAAGAGAAATATTTCTCTTTACTTGAGGTGGCAAAAACAAGACCATCCTACCAAAGAAATATTGGTTAGAATATTAACCACACCCATTTAAAATTTCAGACCAATCGCTTACTAGACAGAAAGAAAATGTTGGGCCTTAAAAATGGACTAAATCCCAATCCAGATTTGAACTGATTCATGTGACTTGGCTCTTTCTCTAAGAGCATTTATCTGGTTTTCTATAGTATAGATAGGCCTTAGTCTGAGGAAGGAAGAAGTAGGAAGAGAGGCCAAGCCAGAATATAAGAAACAGAAGTGGAAGGATATGAAGAGATGGAGGAGGAGCCAGATGAGCAGCCAGGAGAAGAGGGCATATGGTTTGTGTATTAATGGTGCGCAAATCAAATCCCTTTTGACTGTTTAATTGTACCAGTCCCGATTAATGCTCTCTAGAGAAAGGAAGCGAAGGTGAACAAACCTTAAGTTCCCTGTTGTGGACTTTTAGACCCTGATAAAAGGAAAAAAAACATCTTAATATTTCTGTTTGTTTCATTTTAATCTGCGTTTCTCTGTTTCCCCATAAACAATCCCCAGAAGATGATCCAACTGCAAAGGAGATCTTTTTTTTAGAGGTGCTATGATTGTTTAAGTGTGATCTCAGTACTCTCAATGTGTCTGGTTAAACAATTTAAAGCATTGTTGGATGACAATATTTAGGATGATGATAAACCTTAAAGATGTTAGAACATAGATCTTCAGAGCAGCACAGCAGAAACAATGTGTAACTTTTAGATAAAAAGCATTTATTAGGATAAACATGTTCTGGTTCTTTTCATGTGCATGCACTTTAAACTACACTTTCCTAAAAGGAAAAAAAAAGCTTTCATAAATAAAATGTTGTGGCTGAAGAATATAAATCTTTCCAGCAAACATTAAACCATTAAGCTGCACCAATAAAGTATTACTGTAGGGCTGGTTTGATCTTTCCTGAACATTTACAACTATCGATCTCAGTTTATTAATATTCTATAGATGAAAAGATCGTGACGGATGCTCAGGACTCTTTCTTGCAGACCCAGGGTCCATGCTCATCACATTTAGAGGCAAACAGCGTCCTGCCTCCCCTCTGGTCTGCACAGTCCCTTTCATCACTGTCCCACTGCACAGTCACCCTTCAAAAGACACAAATATATGCAATCATGACAATGAAAAATCTAAATAAAGTAGCATTTACCATCAGCATGGTCGTATATCTTCATAGAGATTATGAATTGTAGTTATGTTAATTATGTTAAGATATTTATGACATAACTTTGGTGTAAAATAAACGTATCTAAAAAGCTCAGTCTGTATAACTATATCTATATATATTGTATGTTTGTTGTTATTTTATAATAAAAAAACATAAATATAAGACATTTTGTGTTTTGTGTCCTACTTTTAAACTTAAAGGCCCCATTTTTTTTTTTTGTTGTTGTTGAAATGTTGATTTTCATGGTTCCTTTCCTACCCATAAGGCTGATCTTAACATTGATGCTATAAAACTTAAAGGAACATGAGCTACAATTACCTTAAAGGTATAGTGGAGGATTTTCTTTTTCTGGGTGGATCATCAAAATAAGTGGTCCGAGTGATGCAAACAGTAACTTTTGAACAGAGCGTGCACGAGAAGAAGAGGGGTTTGTCCATGCTCTCACATGCATTTAATAGAGGTTCCCTCTTAGAAGCAGGTGCATGGTTGTGCATTTGCATTTTTTTTTTTTTAATGGAGAGGGCAGGTCTTTTCAAAAATTTGCAAAAATCCTCCACTATACCTTTAAGCCTGGTAATCATATTGTTGAACTGATCATTCCTTTCCGAGTGGTCATTATCATGATGTCTACTAAGCTAATCTAGATTTCTTAAAATGGACCACTTCACCTTCTAAAAACTAATAGATAAGTTATTGATCAGGGAGTCATTCCGAGCCATCTGATTGAAATGTCGTTTAGTTTAGTTTAGTTTTACTAGGATCCCCATTAGCTGCCAAATAAATGGCCACTAATCTTCCTTGGGTCCTCACATAAGGAAATTACATTACATTATGAACAAACCATAAAAAAAATTGCACAAGTTGCACATTAGGAAATAATAGGAACACTAAAAAGAGTAGAAATATACAACATAAATACACAGGTCAGTTCATCATATCATCTGCAGTAGTTCTGAAGACAGTATGTTTTTGAAGCTTGTTCTGTTCTGGACTCTTCGCGTGGTTATTGGCAGTTGGTTCCAGTGACAAATGGCTCTATAATACACCTCTAGATTTTAGATAGTTTGTTCTGGGTCGAGGGAGTTTAATGTATCCACCTAGTGCCCCCCTTGTTAAATAATCACGACATTTTTCAAGCAGGACTAAATGTTCAGCAAAAAATGAAATTTACATTCCATATAAAAAGGTGTCGTTGTGACCCTTCCGATCAAAAATTGGGGAAATCATTGAATGTCTCTGCCTGATATCCTATAATATGTAAAATAAAGCGATTGTGTTACACCTTCAACTTTTCTCTACCTGATTCTCTTCCTGAGAAGAGATCACTGCGAAATTACCCTTTAAATAACACTTACCAATGCATATATATCAAATATGATGGAAGGTTAAACAGAATTTAATCTCAGACCAGAGAAATGGCTCAGGTCACAAACATAGGCCTTACCAGCCTTGCTTCATCAGTGAAGTCCCTTGAATAAGAAGCTTTTTATACATCTGCAAACTCAAACCCTTACACATCATTACATCATACACATGTATTTTGTAAATGATGAGACATCCCTGGTTTCAGCCATACATTATCAAACTAACATACAGTGTTTTTAGATCAATGACAATCAGATGCAGATTACCAGAACTCTCTGTTAAGCATTATCATCTCAGTCTTTATGCTCTCGTTTCATTTCCATATCTGATGCTAATTATACAAACTGCCTGTGAAAAACATCAGCCTTAACACTCAGATTGTGGGTAATATCATTGTTTAACAAGCAAATAAATGAAAGACAAAGAAAGATCCTAACAAATGTGGGGTGCCCTCCTAACCTAGATGGGGTGCCGCCTCTTAGACCTAACGTGAAGCTAAATTATGTTTCTTCTCGTGAAAATTAGGCCACAAAGCATGTCCTTTGCTTTGTCAATGTTTTATTTACTCGAAAGTCACATTTGAACTTGAGAGGACATGTAGGATTTTGAGTCTGACATCTCAGTTTTTCCCGAATTACATCTGTTCCTGTGTTGTGCTCTCCATCTGGTTGTACTGTACACCACTATTAATTCAATTCAATTCAATTCAGTTTATTTATATAGCGCCAAATTCACAACACAAGTCATCTCAAGGCACTTTACAGTTCAACCAGATCATACAGTCAAATTGATACAAAGTTTTCTATCTAAGGAAAACCAGTTGATTGCATTGACTCAAATACAATCCATCACACTAAGCATGCTTGTAGCGACAGTGGAGAGGAAAAACTCCCTTTTAACAGGAAGAAACCTCCAGCAGAACCAGGCTTAGTGTGAGCGGCCATCTGCAGAGGCCGACTGGGGTTCAAGGAGACAGAAGCAGAGACACAAAAGCAACTGGAAAAGGCAGCCCCGTCCAGGAAACACACAGCCAGGCAGACGAGCTCCGAGCCAGCTCCCATGTCTGAGGATGAAGAGAGCACATCCAGCCAGTCACGGTCAGAGAAACAGGACCACACTGGAAAACAGGCCGATCTCCAGCATCTAGGCCTGATGATGAGCCTAAATATATATATATATATATATACATCCCAGCAGAAAGGAATGAATGTGGACAGCCATTAGCCTTCTGGAAATCGTTACTTACAGAAAAACAAAGGGGTGACACGCCTGTTAATTTTGGACTACAGCCATCTGAAAAAAAAAAACTAACAAAAAAAAATCTACAAAATAGAGGATGGTTAAAACTGTACTTATATTGAAACTTGTCAAGTCACGGCACTCCAAAGCGCTTTACAGCATTTCAATTAATTACACACTACATGGTAGCCACAGCTGCCCTGGGGCATGCTGACACAAGTGAGACTTGTGTACACACCCTGACCGATGCCCCTAGTCAATCATCAGTAGAAAGGACAGGACTGAGACAGCCTCCTATACCACTGTCACCCATTACTTATAACATGTGAAGGTGTATACATTTTCACGTGTCTCACACATGGTGCTGGGTTTATATATAATGTCATGCAAAGACATGTGAAATTCCTTCATAGCTCAATTGGGCAAAATAGTAAAGTTGGAAATTTTTTTATGCTAACTGAACCATGATAAGAAGCATACAGGCTTCATTTCTTACCTCGTTCCTTACTGCCAAAACTATTTGGACATCACTTTATGATGGCGATCTTCAACAGACTCTTTGGCTTAAAAGTTTTTACCAATTTGCTGTGTTCGGATCATACCTTGATGGGGAGTCTGGAGAACATGTGATTCAAATAAAGTAGATGTGTGTTGATCAAGATGGCTGCAAGAAAATGTTACCTAAAATTTTCCTTATCTACAGTCAGAGCAAAATGTAAAACATTGAAGAAATGTAGCTGTGACAGATAAGATAAGATAAGATAAGGAGGGAGGGAAGTCCAATTAATTTACAAAGTTCACTACAGCAAGGACTTTCATCTAACATTACTATTCAGGGATCATGAACAATAGTAAAAATTAAAAAAAGCCAAATTAAGCCATTTTCAGGGTGTTATGATGAAAAATCTCAGCCGTCAGTTTTCAGAATATAATTTTTGCTAGTGGGTAATCATTTTTTGCTGACTCTGTGCCTATCAGTTTCCCTCAGCTTTTCCCTTTAGTTAGGAGTCCAGTTTGTGTGTTTTTCCCTCTCCACCACCAGGTGGTGCCCTGTCCTCGTTGGGCCTCCCTGCACACCTGCAGCTCGTTGGATCATTACTGGAGGAGTATTTCAGCAGTGGGCTGTCACTACTTCGACGCAAGAGTGTTTGCCA